TAGAGTTCTTAGACCTACCCTTAGATCTACCCCTAACAAACATAGCCTCACCGGAGTCCCTGGACTGACTAGCACTACCCCTAGCATGCTTCAGGTCTAATTCCTTACTCCTTAACCCATTCACCACAATGTCTAATGAAATCTCATCCCTACCGTACTTAATAGCGGACTTAACATCATTATAAGAGTCGGGAATGGCATTAAGTAATACTATGGGAGTATAATCATCTATGTGTTTATCACCTGCCTGTTTGATATTCTGTATCAATTTATTAAACACATCCAGGTTCTCATCTATATCCTTAGTCAGGTCAAGCCTAAACCTAAAGAATTTCTCTAGCAAGAACAACTTTCCTGGTAAAGAGGTATCAGTATAGAGACTATCCAATTTCTCCCACAACTCCTTAGCGGACTCAAGAATACCCACTTTCCTAAGCACAGAATCAGACAGATTCAAGTAAATAGTAGAACAAGCAGTTTCGTTCATTTCAATTTGCTTAGCCTTATCTTCTGATTCAAGGAAAATACCAGTGACAGCTCTGAAAACTTTTTGCTGTATTAAAACACACTTTATTTTCTGTTTCCAAATATCAAAATCTGTTTTTCCATTAAATGGAAGCATACCATACTGATTCGCAGTCATGGTATCAACCACAAAGGAACACAAAGCTAAACAGATAGAAATGACAGAAAATAATCCAACCCGGGTTATAAAGTATTCACTTTAATAACCCCGGGCAGCATGCAACACATAGCAAAAAATGGACATTTTGACAATTAAACAATTCCGGACAGAAAATTAAATTTAATTAATTCTACCCCTACCACCCAATAAACCACCCCTACGCAAAACAATTAAATTAAATAACACTTTGTAATTTAATTAATCAACTAAAAACAAACTGCCACAAAGGAGTGAGTTTAGAACGTACCTGGGGGGTTGGCGGCCGGGATTAAATCAACCGGCGGCCCGCGGGGAGGGGGAATAAATTAAATTAAATTAAAACCGGAATATAACAAATAGGAAGTTTACAGAAAACTTACCTTCGCGAAACCCTAGGAGAGCGTTTCGACCTTACCTACCCAATTAAAAAAAATTGGGATTTTTTTCTGGAAGGTTGACTGAGTTGACCAGCGTTGACTGGCGTTGACCGGCGTTGACTGGCGGTCCATCACCTCCAGTAGTCCAAGTCAGCAACTCCAGCCCGGTCCAAGCTCCAGCTCCAGCCCAGTCCAGCAGCTCCAGTTCAGCAACCCAGCAGCTCCTGCAGTCCAGAAAGTCCGAAGCCCAGCAGCCCCAGTCCAGCCTCCAAGCATCCAGTCAGCAGAGGGCCCAATTTAAAAAATCGGACCAGCAACCCAGCGGCTCCCCAAAAAAGCTAACGAAGTGCTTCTTCGTCCTCGTTCCCTGCGCGATGAACAGGATTCGGCGTCCCTGGGTTTTATGCGACCAGTGATGAAGGACGACCGACGGACATCCAGGCGACCGGCGGTTCCAGCGGCTGGTTCAGGCGAGCAACTCCCCTGTGGCGTCGAATTCCGGATAGAGGGAAACCAACCTCCGGCGATGGCGGAGGTTCCAGGCGGCGATGGCGGAGGTTCCACTTCCGGCGAGCTCGATTTCAGAGAACAGAGACCTCAGCGAGCTCGTGGGAACGACCAGGCAGCTCCAAGACCTTCGGCGAGCTCCAATCGACGGCGGCGGCGGACGGCGGCGGCGGACGGCGGCGGCGGACGGCGGCAGACGGCGAACTCCGGCTCTGATACCACTGAAAGGATCGGATTCCGTCTCCGGCTCAGGTCTTTCAACACACACTCTCACACACCACACTAGGAGGAAGCTATAGCACACACTTTATACTCTCCACTTAGACCTCTCTACACTCACACAAAGGAGGAAGAAGAAGTGAGCTCTGCTCTCTTCACACAAAGGATGATACTCACGCAGGCTACTTCAACAAGGGAGAAGCAAGGACTTCAAATAGGCTGCCAAAGTGAGTCACGGGTGATGCTAGACAAGAGATATTCACATGCTACCAAGACAAAGGAGAGTCACATGTATAGGCCAAGACAAAGAAGGATGCAGCGGACAGAACACAAAGGGGCCAGCCAAGTGGGTAAGTCAACCACTCAAAATAGGTATATATTTGATCAGGATATATACCACAGTAAAGATATCTCAGAGAGAGTAAAATAGAGTGTGCAAGCCTCAACAAATAAAGTGGAAGGGAGGCCTTGGTAGGACCAATACCTCCAACACTTTTCATATGTAGGCTTTGCCTATTCCCATCTAGGCTTCAAAGAAGAGTTAACTATATTTTCAATATGCCTCATAACTGAAACGAAGACTTCATTTTAGGATGAAAACGGTAAAAAGTACTACCTCCGTCCCAAAATGAGTTGCAAATTTGACTTTTTTAGTCAAACAGTCTCGTTTTGTTCACTTAATTAGATTGTCAATTTTTAATTATTTTCTAATTTGGAGTTTACTACTTTGAAGAGATTTTAATGTAGTTTTTGAATATATAAATTTTAATTATTAAAAATTGAATTGATTATCCATAAGGAGGGTTGACTTTTATTATTGATTGACAAAAAAATGTTGACTTTACAAAACAAATTGGGACGGAGGGAGTAATTATAGAGTAGTTCCTTGTAATGCAAGGATAGTGAGGAAGCTTCTTTTCAACGCAATACTAGATTTTTTTATTTTATTTTTATATTTCCGCAATAATTGATCAAAATGATATTGGTTTAGGCTGGATTGTAAATAATTCGGAGTAATCCATTTATTACTTTTTATAGCATCTTCTATAGCATATTCTATAACATATTGGTTTAGCCAAGCACTCATATAAAAATTAATATTATTAATCGTTTCGGTAGAGGGCGGCAAAATCTTATCAAATAAGGACTACTACTGTTTTTAGGGATCGCAAGCGGGGTGCTCCCCCATGCCCCCTTTAGATCCTTCACTTTACAAGCTATTGTAATTAATGATAAAATTTACAGAGTACATACTTTTCTCGAATACTACTCATCGTGGCTTCATAAAATTTTTTGTAAAAAGTTCTTTAAAATCGTGATGCCAAACATAAAATTAGAAGCTCTTAAACACTTTTTGAATAGTAAAAAAGCTAGAAAATATGCAATTATGCACTTAATAGCTTCTGAGAGAAAGTCTGTAGTTTTTAACATGAACTAGTCACAACAACTTATTATATTAAACATTGCGGAATCAAAGCAATTAACCTTTTATTAAGCAGCTATAACTTTTTTTCTAAGTTTTTTTAAATCATCAAAATCTAACTTGACTAAAAAGCTCACAAAAACATCACCTAATTGTAAGGTGTTAGAGACTGTATAATCAATCCCTATCCGAAATTTTTGGCCCATTTTTGACGAACAAGTTTTCCGTACAATTCCGTACAGATGGGCCGTATGGATTCCGTATAGTTGGGCCGTACGGATTATTTTTTCTTTATTTTTGGCCGAGCCTCCTAGTTGGCTTAGGGGTAGGTTTTACTCTCTATAAATACAAGTTCTCGCCCTTTGTAATCCCTTATCCGAAAATAGCAATAATATTCCTGGCTTGATAGCGCTCCCAGACGTAGTCATTCGTGGCGATCTGGGTTACCTGTTCTTGAATTGTTTTTCGTGTTGCGTAAATTATTTCCTAACACTAATGTGTATCATAATCTAGGGGTGGGCGCGGTCCGGAACGGTCCGGGAAATTAGTAAAACCCGTAATGTATCCGTGAGGTTTCTAACGGTCCGGTGCGGTCCAGTTCTAAGGATGGAACCATTCGGTACCGTGTCGTTTCGGAACGGTACAAAACGGTACGGTACAATGTCAAACGCATGCTAAAAAATTAGACAAATCTTGCAATTAGTAGATATCACAACACAAACCAACTCACATGAAGTTTCGATATAAATACAAGAAATTACATACGCAGTACTAAAATTCACAAACACACAAATAGTGCAACACAACTAAGAAAAAGTATAGCAAAATGATTAAATTTACTAAGTTAATGTGAAAATATAAAAAGAATATCATCAAATTGTAGAATATAATAGAAAAAAACGTCGTTCTTCTACTTTGTTCTTGGTTAAATATTAGTTCTAATTTAATTTATAACTGAACCGTGAGAGATAAGATTTAAACTATATTAATTAAGTTGTAAAATTGCATATACATGATACAACAATAAGTCATATACACTTAATTACTATAAATGAATAGTCATTAATAAATTTAAAACTTTAACTTTCTTTCAATATATACCAAAATATAACACAAATTATCTAAAAAGAAAAAATAACAATATACTTATAAACACACACATTTAGCTATTTTAGGGACACATGAATACATACTTGGTTTCAAAAAAATATAAAAAATTGAATGCATTATTTTTGAATGGTCCGGTCCGGTATTTTTCGGTTCTCAAAATCTAGGACCGGTCCCGTAGCCGTTTCAAACGGTACGATTTCGGTTTGGGATGAAAATCTACAGAACCGTTTAAATACCCGATATTCGGTTCGGTACCATTACGGGCCGGTTCGGTACCGGTTCGGTACCGGTTCGATTCGGGTTTTATGCCCACCCCTATCATAATCCATAGTCTTACTTATTACAGTACTTGTTAGGGAGTGTTTGCAAATGCTTCTGCTTAAAAAAAGCACTTTTGGAGATGTAATGAAAAAGTTATTAGTAGTAAAAGTTGATAGTGTTTGTAAAAAAAGTGATTTTGAAAAGTAAAAGTTGATAGTGTTTGGTAAAATAAGTGCTTTTTGTGTAATAGAAAAGGGAAAAACACTTTTCACACGCAAGCCGAGAAAAAGTAAAAATTGGAAGTGTTTGGTAAATAAGTGCTTTTTTATGCCAAAAGTTGAGAAGTGTTTTTTTTAAAGCTATTGCAAACACTCCCTTAGGATACCGCTTTTATGATGAGTTGATACAAAAGTGCAAAACTATGTGGACATTAGTTCCATTTTAAAGAAACCGAGGCCCTCATTGCAAAATTTGATGTTCTGCGTATCATTTGTTCTTCTCCCCTAGAAATAGACCGAGGTCTTGTCTGCAAAAGCTTGGTCTGAAACTCTAAATTCATTGTTGATGGATCAGAATATCTCACCACTGGACTTTCCCGTTCACCACAAGCAGTTCTCTCTTGACATCCAGGTTTTTTTCCTATGCTTTCGCATTGTTTTTTTTTGTTCTTTTCATTTTTATGTTTTTCCACTGTATCCCCCACGATGATATTGAAGCTGGAAAGACATACGTGTCTAGAAGCTAAACACAGCTCATCCTGTTTCTGAAATGTCTGAGCAAATACTCAATTTTAGTCCATTTTATGTGTGATAAAAACTATGCGCGCCAAGTGTTTGATGTATTGTGTCGCATTGTTCTCTTGTATCGCCCCAGTAGAAATTCATATAGCCGCGGCCCAACAGTTTCTTTTCTTCTCAAATTTGATTTCTTTTTATTTGTCTACTCAGGGGAATAAAACAGATATCATCATATGTAGTTACGAAGACCATTTTCTTGTGAGTTCTGAATCCCCTATTTCGTAAATGAGTTTTTTTTTTTAAATTGCAATTGTGAGGTTTCTAAAATTTGTTTCTTGTAACTTGCTCAGGTCATTGAATGAGTTTTTTTTTTTTAAATTGCAATTGTGAGGCTTCTATGATTTGTTTCTTGTAACTTGCTCAGGTCATTGCAACTCAAATAGGAAGCATGGGGACCATACTGCATGCCCGGTCTGTTATTTTTACTTGCTATTTATTTTAGCTGTTTTTGCTTTTTTATCCAACCTTCCTGTGGAAGTTAGTCGTTGCTAAGGACATGAATCCATGTTTGTTGACAATTCAAATATAAGCTATCTCCATTCCAGTCATATGTCCTTGCATATTGCCAACTCTTATAACCTCTTAAGGAATTGCTACTTTGCTGTCCGTGGGGGTAGTCTTCTACAGTTATTGTAAAGAACTAAAGATTACTATGGATTCTAGATTGTTTAAGGTTTTAGTGGACAAGTCCATTTTGAGTACATTTCAGAATATTCAGGATGCACGAACAATAATTTAAGCTTTTCTAAGAACGGCAAAAAAGTGGAGCTTTGTCCCAAAAATCTTTTTTCCCCTAAAAATGTACTGCTCCATCAAACGAACCTATTTAAAAGACAAGATAAATATTACTCTGTATGATGTATAGGTTTAGTTAAGTAAAAAAAATAGTTTCAAAAGTACATGCAGGATGACAGGAATTCACTACTAGGTGTTGTGCCTTGCCGGAATTTAAAAGTTGTACATTGACCAAACATGACTTCTCTTTGGACTGAGGGAGTAGTTGGTAGCCAAGTTAATAGATCAAAATTTATTATTTATAATCAGATGCATTATTTGTTTGTATGGTCTGGTTTGGTAGGAAGGAGGAAGGGATGACGACGGAACCAAACTTTAGTGTGTCTGTTGTGCTGGGAAAACGTGATGAGGTAAGTGATGAACACATTACTGAGTTCTATTACCATTGCTTCTAAATGTCTAGAGTGCATGAATAAAATAATAATACTCCATAACAAATCCTGCAGGTATTGCTATTAGCTTGTGCTAGACAGATTATTGAACATATAAGGTACTTCCATTTCTCTGGTGACTACAATTTCCTTTTGTCCTGCACAAAGCAGCCATGTTTTCTCAATCGTTACCATCTGTGGGGAATGTTGGATGAGTAATTGAGTATCTTTACAATATGTTTACAGTTCATCAGGATCTTCTAGGTCTTTGGTTCTCTCACTTGGCTTGAAAGATCATTCTATGGTTAGTACATCTAATAAACCGCCTTTCCGAGTATAATAGCTCTCATAATAATGATCATCCCTGTTCTATTGCAGAGCACTCTGAAGAGCATTGTTTCCACTGTGAAGGAAAGCCGTGTTTGGTAATCTCACATGTGGTTTATTCACTTAGTTTCTTAAAATCTTGACAAGGCTGTATCTGTAGACAAATTTCATCACATTATGAAATGTTTACATTGCATCATTCAATAGTCAATACAAACATTTATGTTGTTATGTGATGTTCTATAAACACTATATATTGCTTCCTCCATCCCTACCAAACTAAAAATGGGTTCGCGCACTTTTGTCCGCTCAAATAAAATCACGTTTAATCCCCAAAGGTGTTACAGAAAGTTTCTCTCTCTATATATATGATATATTTTGTTAAACCAATTTTTTGCTAAACCCTAAAACAATATACTTCATCCGTTCTTTTTTAATTGCAACGGTCCACTTTTCACGTTTGCCAATACATAAGTTTGACCATTAATATCTTTCATTCCGTATTAGTAAAAAAATTAAAAAATTTGGATTATGAAAATTTAAAGTGAGAGGAATTTAACGATATTTTTTTCAAATTCAATTTATAGTACATTAATAAATAAAATAGGGTCAAAATAGAACATGTGAATAGTGTAAAAAGTCCAACGTTGCATTTAAAAGAGAACAGAGTAGTATATATTTATAGAAGAGATACCCTAAACTATTATATTTTTTTTGCTTTGGTATAATAAAAAGATAAATATACAAACTTTATCTGACCCAATAGTATCTCTCGACGGTTTCTTTTTGCAACGTTGTTTGAAATGATATAGATATTGTGCAATTGAAAGAAAGAAAGAAATAATTAATAGAATATGTACCACTCATTTTCTTTTGAAACGAAAGTGTAAAGACAATTATGAGTAAGTAAATATTTTACACCATGTTTAATAAAAACTATTTTAAAAACATTTTTTACTTTACATCAGGTAAAATATTTTAGTTGGGAGAGGCCGAGAGGGTAGTAAATTAGTTTACATTTGTATGAGGGAGAATAAATATACGGACTATATTGCAAAATTCAACAATGAAGAAAGAATTCAATATACACAAACATCTAGAGGCCGTGGGAGAGGTCGTGGTCATGGTTATGCAAAATTCAACAATGAAGAAAGAATTCAATATACACAAACATCTAGAGGCCGTGGGAGAGGAAGCAAACCACAAAGGTACGACAAGTATCAACTGAAGTGTCATAATTGCAATAAGTATGGCAACTATGCATATGAATGCAAGCACCCTCATCATGTGAAAGAAGAGGCCCATCTAATGGATATGAATAATGAGGTAGAACTTACCTTGTTGATGGCAAATCATGAAGAACAAACAAAGAAGAGCACATGGTATTTAGACACCGGAGCTAGCAACCACATGACGGGAGATAAGAGCTTGTTTGTGAAGGTGGAACAAACTCAAGGTCATGTTACCTTTGGAGATGAATCAAAAGTCATGGTGAATGGTAGAGGTAACGTTCTAATCCGCCTAAATGATGGAAGTCACCAATTCATTTCCGATGTTTACTATGTGCCCAACTTAAAAACAAATATTCTAAGTATGGGACAACTCCTAGAAAAGGACTATGATATTCACTTAAAGAATCGTACTCTTTCTCTACGAGACAATAATGGGAGACTAGTTGTTAAAGTGCCGATGACTAGAAACCGGATGTTCTTGCTTGATATTCAAAGAGATCAAGCCATATGCTTGAAAAGTTGCTTGAAAGACGAGTCATGGATTTGGCACTTAAGATACGGGCACTTGAACTTTGGTGGCTTGAAAATGCTATCGTCCAAAGGCATGGTGAAAGGTTTGCCCTTCATCAATCATCCCGATCAACTATGCGAAGGATGCCTACTTGGAAAGCAATCAAGGAAACCATTCCCTAAAGAAGTTACCTCAAGAGCTAAGGAGCCATTGGAGTTAATCCATATCGACTTATGCGGTCCTATTACTCTATGTTCTCATGGTAAAAGTAAGTACTTTCTCACTTTCATCGATGATTACTCAAGAAAAACATGGGTATATTTTCTGAAACAAAAATCAGAGGCCTTTGAAGCATTCAAGAAATTTAAGGCTCTTATTGAGAAAGAAAGTGGGTACGTTATTAAAGCCATGAGATCAGATCGAGGTGGAGAGTTCACATCAAAAGAGTTTAATCAATTTTGTGAAGATAATGGCATCCGTCGTCCCATGACTGTCCCGCGTACACCACAACAAAATGGTGTTGCCGAAAGAAAGAATAGGATTATCCTCAACATGGCCCGAAGCATGCTAAAGACGAAGAATATGCCTAAAGAATTTTGGGCTGAAGCTGTGGATTGTGCCGTCTATCTTCAAAATCGCTGCCCCACGAAGAGTCTAGATGGAATAACTCCACAAGAAGCGTGGAATGGAGGTAAACCCGGAGTCTCGCACTTGAGAGTATTTGGATGCATTGCATATGCTCATGTTCCTGATCAGACTAGATCAAAACTCGACGACAAGAGCGAGAAGTTTATATTCATTGGATATGACAAATACTCAAAAGGGTACAAACTCTACAATCCGGATTTGAATAATCTTATAATAAGTCGTGATGTGGAGTTTGATGAAGAAGGCTCGTGGAATTGGAGCATTGGCGACAAAGAAGATTATAGCCTCTTACCATCCATGGAATATGAAGAAGTTGAAGAGAATCATGAAAATATAACTCCTCCACCATCTCCCACTCAATCTCAAGCTTCCCCACCAAGTTCGGATGAAAGAGAAATACCACGCATGAGAAGCATTGAAGAGCTTTACGAGGTAACACAAAACCTGAACTCAAATGATGAACTTACACTCTTTTGTCTATTTGGTGATTGCGAGCCACTAAGTTTTGAAGAAGCCACAAGAAACAAGAAGTGGAGAGATGCAATGGATGATGAGATTAAGTCCATTGTGAAGAACAAAACATGGGAGCTAGCCACACTTCCATCAAATCATAAAGCAATTGGAGTGAAGTGGGTATTTAAGATCAAGAAAAATGCAAAAGGGGAGGTTGAGAAGTACAAAGCAAGACTGGTGGCCAAAGGCTACGCCCAAAGACATGGCATTGATTACAAAGAAGTATTTGCACCCGTTGGTAGATTGGAAACAATAAGATTGATAATTGCACTCATGGCTCACAACAAGTGGAAGATACATCAAATGGATGTCAAGACCGCATTCTTAAAGGGCTCCTAGAAGAAGAAGTCTACATTGAGCAACCCGAAGGTTACAAAGTCAAAGGGCAAGAAGATAAAGTGTTGAGGCTAAGAAAGGCTCTTTATGGGCTTAAACAAGCACCAAGAGCTTGAAATAGTAGAATTGACCAGTACTTCCAAGCTAATGGATTCGTGAAGTGTCCACAAGAACATGCACTATATGTAAAGAAAAATCATCAAGGAGACATATTGCTCGTGTGCATATACGTGGACGATCTCATCTTTATAGGTAATAATATGACGATGTTCGATGAGTTTAAACAAGTCATGACAAGGGAGTTTGAGATGACTGACATTGGGCTTATGAGTTACTATCTTGGCATCGAGGTGAAACAAATGGATGATGGTATATTCATCACTCAAGAAGGATATGCGAGAGAAGTACTCAAGAAGTTCAACATGGAGGACTCCAAACCTGTAAGTACACCTGTTGAAAGTGGACTAAACCTATCGAGGTATGATAAAGAAAAATTGATTGATCCAACTTACTTTAAGAGTCTTGGGGGGAGTTTAAGATACTTAACATGTACAAGACCAGATATTCTCTTTGGTGTTGGACTTGTTAGTCGATTCATGGAGGCCCCCACAACAACTCATTTGAAGGCCGCAAAAAGGATTTTGCGATATCTCAAAGGCACCGCCGAATATGGGCTGTTTTACTCTCCATCTGATGAGTTTAAGCTAGTTGGATATTGCGATAGTGATTGGGGTGGAGATATTGATGGCCGCAAAAGCACAACTGGGTTCGTGTTCTACATGGGAAACACCGCTTTCACGTGGGTTTCAAAGAAGCAATTGATCGTCACCTTATCTACTTGTGAAGTCGAGTACGTTGCAGCAACATCAAGTGTTTGTCATGCAATTTGGCTCCGCTACATATTGCAAGCTCTCGGCATGTCTCAAGAAGAAGCAACAACAATATTTGTGGACAACAAGTCAGCTATTGCATTAGCAAAGAATCCAGTGTTTCATGATCGAAGTAAGCACATAGACACTCGATATCATTTCATCCGAGGAAAGATAGCGAAGAAGGAAGTTCAAGTAGAGTATGTGAAGACTCAAGACCAAGTCGCTGATATTCTCACAAAGCCACTCAAGCACGATGTCTTTGCAAAGATGCGGAATCTACTTGGTGTTGCTAAGTCAAGTTTAAGAGGGGATGTTAGAAATTAAACTTGGCTTAGCCCAATAATTGGGTCCATTACAAGTTAACTTATTGGGCTAATAGTTGTATGAGAAATAATAAATTAGTTAGCCCATAAGTTAGAGTTAGTAAAGAAAGATCTAGAGTAGTTTTTAGTTAATGTACTTATTAAATAATTCTAGAATGTTCCTAAGCTAAAATTCTATGGAATATTGTAGAATCTTAATGAAATAGGAGTGCCTACAAGGATCCTGTGAGACCTATAAATAGAGCACTCCTCACTCATTTGTAATACAAGCCAAAAGCTCCAAAATCAATAAAATCTCCAAGTTCTCCCAAAATCATCTCTCTCTAAAATTCTCTCTTTCACACACAACCATCCAAATATAATACTCATAAACTACTTTCTTCCAACAATTCCCAACCAAATGAAAAGAGGTGGACAGGAACATACTCCAAAGTAGGAGCCAAAACTTTTCGAAAAGTGCATCAAATAAGGTCTATTCGAAAGTGCATCAGATATGAGTTATTGTGCATCAGATCGACACTTTGGACGGCTGAGATTAATTCTCATTTTACACGTTAAGACTTTTTTTTTTATTTGATCCAAATTCTATATATATGTGTGTGTGTGTGTGTGTGTGTGTGTGTGTGTGTGTGTGTGTGTGTGTTCAAATGAGAACATACATCCCTTAATGTGAGAAGTGATCGAGAACAAATCCTCACCCTCCATAATACATGTTGATCTACAATTGATTAAATGGCCCTAGAGGGCATTTTCGTATTATTCTTTACTGGCCAACCATTGCAATTAATGCATTCCACATATATTCCACGTTCCACATTTCTAGGAAGGTAATATAATAAGGTGCATATTATATTAATTTTTAATTTCATTCCTTACGTGAATTTAGTTTTTCCATCATTTGCAATGGAGC